ATATGTGTGCATCTATTTCTATTTCCATTATTCTGTCCCATCGATATATCCATCTATACCCGGAATACTACCTTGGCTTATTGAAGCTTTATGGTTAAGTCTTGAAATTATGTGTTATAAATCAACCACTTGTTGTTCCTTTTAAATATTTTCTAGCTATTCTCATTCTCTCTAGAATTTTGATAGAGATTGTACTAGATCTATATGTACATTTATTTAGAGAGAATTTGCATCTTTACAGTTTTGTTTTATTTTGGGGGGTTTTTTTGGGTACTGGGGATGGAACTTGGGACCTTGCGCTTGCGAGGCAGGTGGCAGCACCACTGAGCTAAATCCCCGGCCCACATTTTTACAGTTTTGAGTTTTATAATCCATGATCAAGATAGATATATATTTATATATTCCTCATTTAATGACTGGGTTCCATTCCTATGACTAGATAATTAAATGAATTGGTTGTTAAATGAGGAATTGTATATAGTATGTACATTGCAATATTCCAAACAAAAATATGGTCAAAGGAAACTCCAGCCTGATGATTTTGCTTTTATTTGTATAACTCTTACATACATTACCCTAACGTGTAACAGTACTATAGTGTATAAAGCTATAGTACAGTACTGTACAGTACAGTGAGCAAAAATTACAGTAATGGACTGCAGAAGAACCCACCATAAGGCCACAGTGCCACTCAGGTTCATGCATCATAAGTCTGAATGCGGGTTGTAAGTCCCAGCAGCATCTTGCAAGTCCAAACAGTGCACCTGGTAGTAATTCCAAGCAGTCATTAAACAGGTAGGTTGTTAAATGAGAAATATGTGAATATATTTTTGACATGTATATACTTGATATATATGTACTTTTTATTTCAGGCTTCTTAAATTTTTTAGCAATGTTTTACAGTTTTCAGTACTCTAGTGTTTGTTTGGTTTTTTGGTTGTTCGAGGCAGGGTCTCCCTTTGTAGTTCAGGCTGCCCCTGAACTCACTATGTAGCCCAGGCTGGCCTTGAACTCGAAGCAATCCTCCTGCCTCAGCCCCCCGAGTGCTGGGATTACAGAGGTGTGCCACTACACCTGGCTCTATATAAGGGTTTTTGTGCTCTTTTTGAAGACTTATTTCTATGTATTTTGTTTGTTTGTTTTTTGGTACCGGGGATCAAACTCAGGACCTTGTGCTTTCGAGGCACGTGGCAGAACCACCTAGCTAAATCCCCAGCCCTGTATTTTATATTTTTAATGATGATATTTTTACTTATTCTCTAATACTTTAGCTGCCCTAATTATTTCTTTTCTTTTCTTTCTTTCTTTTTTTTTTGGTACTGAGGATCGAACTCAGGACCTTGCACTTGCCAGGCAGGTGCTATGCCGCTGAGCAAAATCCCCAGCTGTCCCCTAATTATTTCCAGTGACCATACTGACTATAACCTGTGACTTTGTTAAATTCATTAATTAGTTAAAATAGTTTTCAAATTGATTCATAGGGTTGTGTTTTTTTGTACTGTACACATCATGTCATGTGTGAATAATGGCCATTTTATTTCTCTTCTGAAATGTAGGCCTTTACTTATTTTTGCCTTGGCCCTATCCTAAGCATTTATTATTTATCTCATTTACTCTTTATAATAAATCAGTGCTGTTCCCACTTAGTCCATGCTATAATGTGGATCCCAAATGTTCCCCAGAGGGCCATGCACTACAGACTTCTGGCCTGGCATGGCTGGGAAGTGGTGGAAACTTATTAAGAGGTGGGACCTAGTGGAGGTTTTCCAGTCACTGGGGCTGCCCCTGAAGGAGGGTCCTGGTCTCTTCCTCTCTCTTTTCACATCTGGGCCATGAAGTGATTTTGCTACACCAGGCGCACCTGCCATGATGAGCTGCACCTCCCACCCCACGCCAGGGCCATAAAAGTAATGGATTTGCCAATCATAGAAGGAAACTTCCAAAACTGTGAGCAAAAGAAACCTTTCCACTTTATAAGCTGATTAAGATACTGTATTTTGTTATAGTAGTAGAAAGATGGCTAACAGCACACAAGAACATGAGGCTCAAAAAGGGTCAACAGGTACCAATGCAGAGGGGACTCCAGGCACAGGAGATGGGGAGCTGCTACTTAATAGTTTCAGTGTTGCAGGATGGTAAGGTTCTGGAGCTGTTACACAGCATGTGAATACACCACACTTAAAAAGGGCTAGATTGGCAAATTTTGTGATACGTTTTAAAATCGTAATTAAAAGTAAAGATATTTTTAGAAACATTAACAGAAAGTTTATTATAAGTTCTAAAACAAAAACAAGAACAACAATGCTGAAACCATTTTTTTTAACCTATCGGGATTGGCAAAACTCCAAAGCTCTGATTACACTCTCAGTTGGCAGGGATCTGGGAAACGGTACTCTCATTCATTTCCAGGGGAATACACATTGATACAACCCCTCTGGAGGGCTGTATCCATGATACCTTTGATCTAGTAATTCCACAACAGGGCACTTCATCACACAGACACACTGCATGCATGTGTGAAATGATGTACTGACCAGGTGACAAACTTCAACACTGTTTACAATAGGAGGACACAGGAAACAAACAAATACCTATTGCTAGGTTATTGATTGGTTAAATAAATTATAGTACAGCCATACAATGGAATAGTATGGACCTGTTTAAAAATGAGGAAGCTCTGTATTACTAAAAGGGAAAGATATGCAACGTATATTACAAGTGAAATATTCAGAACTATGTAAAATGTTATGTGCAAAAAGGAGAGAAATAATCTATACTTTTCTATATCCTCACATATACATTAAGAAGTTCTAGAAGGATACATGGAAAAACAGCAGCAGTGATTTGTGGGCCCTTAATGGGAAATGAATGGATAGGGAACTGGCTAGGGTAGGAAGAAAATCCCCACACTTACATATAAATTTTAATGACACCAGTGATACTAATCTATTCACACAACTATTTACCAAGTGTCTACTATATGTCAAGTAGGCACTGGCAATATAGCACTGAACAAGACAAAGTTCTTACCCTCTTAAAACTTACATTCTAGGGGAAAAAACCAAATACATGTGTGTGTGTGTGTGCATTGTATATACATTTTAAAAATTTATAAAATAAGTTAAATAATGTCAGAGAGCTATTTTTAAAAAAGTAAATCAGGATAAAGGAAGAAGGAGAAAATGTTGGAAGAGGACTAGTGTGCTACTTTGGCTAGAGTAGTCTGGGAAGCCTCTCTGAGGAGTAGGCATTGGAGTGAATACACTCACTGAGTGACTGGAGGGGAAAAACATGGAGGGGGAAGAGCTTTCGAGGCAACAGACGCTAAGGGCAGGAACAAGCCTGATGCACTCAAGAAACAGCAAAACTACCTGGGGCAAACTGAGGGAGGAAAACAGAGGTAAGCAATGACGCAAGATTGGCTCAGAAGCCAGAGGTGCGGGCTCTACGGGACGTGGGCAGTGGTCTGGATGGTGCAGGTAGCCTGTCAGAGGTTTACAGATGCCCAAAGGGGCCTGGCTGAGACCCAGCCAGTACACAGCTGTGTGCCCTCCAGGTGGTTAAGACTGAGATAGTTCAAATCCTGTCAGGACACAGCCGCTTCCCTGGTAACAGTGTCACCGGCCACACAGGCTTCTTTCCCAAGGCCCCCCATTCCCTCCCTACTCTTGCCTCATGAATCCACAACTAAATATTGACAGTCACTTGGCCCTGAAGAGGCTTAGGGACGTTAGGCAGCTCAGGAACCTAAAATCACTGAGATTCAGCAAGCGGTATGGTGACTGAAGATCGGCCCTTCCTAACAATCCTAGAGGCAGGCCGCTTGGAACAGTGTGTCCTGGACTTCCATCCCAAGAGGCAGCTGGGGCTGCCTGCTTTCCCACTCCTCCGGAGAGCAGGGGTAGTACACAGGCAGGAGAAATGGACTGAATGTCCCTAAGCTAAGGGCTGAGATGAAGACAGAGGAAAGGGGAGACTCAGTGAACTTCTGCATAAATGATCTTTTCTCAGCAGTTGCCAAGTGATCTTAAAGGCTTTTGCAATTCTACATAATATGTTTACTACATCAAACTTACTTGCATATTCAAAGCTATAGAATTGTCATGTACCAGGAGTTTGTTTTTTCAATACATTGTTAAAAGGTAAATAAAATGTCAATTTTGGCAAAACACCAAAGGCAACCTTAACATTCTCATAGCTGCACTTGATAAAGTCAATTATGTTTATGTAACATTGTGTAGTTCCTGGAATCCTGAATTCAAACTAGAACAAGAACAGCTGGCATGGCAACTCTAATTTCATATATGAAATTTATTTTATATACTATAGTGCTGGAAATTTCATTTGGTAAATCAATACAGATGTCAAAATCTTTTTAAAAATATTGATTTCTCCAAAGTAGCATGACATTTCTAGGCTGCTTACCACTTCTACCCATATTCACCAGGTTTTTCCTCTTTGAAAATGCATTCTGGTGCTCTGAAATCTAGGATCCTAGCACTGTGTTACGTTTTAACTTCAGCTTTATTCTCATTCATTTAATTTCTTTAAACATAAAAATCACCAGTTTAATTACACCACAGTAATATTCACTAACACCAATTTGTAACACAAACCTAAACTAAAGGAAAAGAAACTGGAAGGAACATGGGAGAACCCTAAGCACTATTTAGAAGTAATAGATCTCAGGGCAGCAGATACATATTTACTCACTTTTATTTTCTGACCGTAAACACCTTCATTCAATGCAAGACAAGACATTAAAAAGCATTTTATGTAAGCAGACCTGTTGAAAAGCCAAAAAGCTTCACAGCTTTCCTTTTTTTAAAAAAAAAAAAAAAATCAAACTACTTGTAGAAATGCTGAAACTTTCTTTTAATAAGTAGATCTACTACACAGCATCAAAAGCCAAACAGAGACTTGATTTAATCTTATGGCAGTTACTCTTAGAATCCTTTTTATATTAACAAGTCATAATAGTTGTTTAAAAAAGTACTTACACCAAGCTGAAGTCTGGACAGACAGCATGAAACTAGCAGCAGCCACCGATTTCCTCACAGACTAAACTTTGTCCCCTTCCTGGCTCTTTCTGGATCAGGTTCACACCGCTTTGGACGCTACCGCCCAACAGCAAGGTGGGAGGGTTTGTTAATTTAACTTCCCGTCCATAATCGCTTATCAGCAACTTCTCAAAGGCTGAATTAAATGTGTTTGAAGAGACAAATGTAAGGAAGATTATAGGGAAAGCCTGAAAAAAAAATCTCATAATCTCTGATGGCTGGGTTTTGGTTTCAGCAGGGAATTCCTACTCCAATACGTTCCTAGGGTTAAAAAAAAAAAAGCTAGTCCTCTGAACTTCAAATGTCTTGCTTGCTTCCTTTATAAGTTTCCCCTCCCTCTCTAAATCTATGTATTGTGCAATAATGGCAGAAAGGGGTCAAAAGGTTGCTTCTCTGGTGTTCCTCATCTCCTTCATCTCTGTTCTCCCTATTTTACTAGTGAGAGGAACAATGCAGAGTTCTTGGTAAACTTAGTGCTTTCTTTTAAACCACCTGCCTATTTAATGTAGAAGTGAGAACTCAGATCCCAAATTCTGTCCTTTGCCAGATAAAATGTTACGTTGTTTTACTCCTTTCCACTTCACTAAGCTCCTCCTTCTGAGCTACTATACATCTGCAATTTGTACCACTGGCCTTTGAAGCAGCAACCATTTACGATGTACTCACTGCACTAATCACTTTACAAACATTATCTTCTACTCTCCCAGACAGCACACATCGGGATCATCTTCAAATCTTCTTACTCCAATTCTCTGTACACAATGTGATTCCTTCTCTATCCTGTTGATCCCCTGCAGTGGGCACTGTGATGGGGAGAATAATGCCCTTCCCCCAAAGATGTCCACGTCCTACTCATTAGAACTTGTCAATATGTGACATCTTATGGCCAGAGGGATTTCGTGGATTTAAGGTTAAGAACCGTGAGATGAGGGGATTATCCTGATGGGTCCATTCTCCAAAGGTGGTGAACTTTCCCCGGCTGCGGTCTGAGAGCTGTTGATGAGGACTCAACTGGCTCTTGCTGGCCTTAAAGATGGAAGGAAGTGGCCTCCAGAAGATAGAATAGGCAAGAGGCGGATTTTGGAACACAGCCTAGATGACACCTTGATGTTATCCCAGTGAGATCCATATTGGACTTTCTACCTACAGAACTATAAGATAATACATTTGTAGGGTTTTATGTTTTGTTTTTGTAGAACTGAGGATTGAACCCACTGACTTTGTACTGAGTTACATCCTCAGCCCTTTTTTATTTTTTTATTATGAGACAGTGTCTTACTAAGTTGCCCAGGGAGAGCCAGGTGTGCATGCCTCTAATCCCGGCACGCAGGAGGCTGAGGCAGGGGGACTGCTGTGAGTTTGAAGCCAGCCTGGGCTACATAGCAAGACCTTGTCTCAAAAAAACCAAAACCCAAACCAAAGCCCAAACAAAAACAAACAAAAAATGAAAACCAAAAACAGAAACAAAAGGTCAAGCTGTCCAGGATGAGTTCAAACTCCAGGTCCTCCTGCCTCAGTAGTATTGGGATTAATCCTCTGAGTGCTGGATGAAGGGCACACACAATCACAACCAGCTTAAATTTGTGTTGTTTTAAGTCACAAAGTTGATCACAATTTTTTTATGGCAACAAAAGAAAAACAATATGGGTATTTCAATTTCACAGTGCCCCTTTAAAAATATAATACCAAAAAGAGTACTCCAAATGAGGTGTGATTAAGAAAAAAATAATTACAAAACTATCAATTTCCTTGATCTGGCTGCTCTACATTTATTATTTTATATTTTAAATGCATTGTATTCTTAACTCAATAGATTCCTAAGTCTTTAATCACATGAGCTATATCCAACCAGATGCCTGACCTTCCCTTCTCTCTCCTCTATTGAGGTCAAACACACACATTTCTGGAGTGTAAATTCTGGTTCTATTTAAAGTTGATAGAAGAAATATGAACAGCTCTTAAATAAGTGAAGACACTTGACCTCACTTAGTATGAGGGAAATAGAAGCCAGCATGGTGGTACACACTTGTAATCCTAGCATTCTAGGAAGCTGAGGCAGGAGGATCACAAGTTCTACCCCAGCATAGGCAATTTAGCAAGACCCTGTGTCAAAATTTGAAAAGGAGGTGAGAATGGAGCTCAGTGTGAAGGCCCTGGGTTCAATCCTCAGCCCTGGAAGAAGAGAGAGAGAGGAGAGAGAGGAGAGGGATAGAAAGAGAGAGACAGAGAGACAGAGAGAGAGACAGAGAGAGACAGAGATAGAGAGATAAAGAGCCAAAGAGAGAGAGACAGAAATAGAGACAAAAAGAGAGAGAGAAATTAAAATAGAATGACATTATTTTAACTTTTAAATTAGCAAATTTCAAAAAGTTTCATTAGACACACCTTTGGTGACTTTATGGGAAAACACATTTAATGAAAGATAAATTGGCAAATTATGAATACATATACCCTTTCACTCAGCAATAACCCAAACAGACTTACACATGTAAAATGTGTACGTATGTACATGGATACTCACTGCAGCATTGTTTACAAAAGTAAACAATGTCAATCAAGAGGGATCTGATAAATTAGATTACAGTACAGATAGCTAAATGGGATACTGGGAAAAAAAGCAACTTTGTGTTGATGAGGAATGATCAAACTATATTCAACTGAAAAGGGACAAAGAGTAATATATTTAGAATGCAATTATTTGCATATCTGTCAGGGAGAGAGAGAGAGAGAGAGAGAGAGAGAGAATATGTGTGTACCTTTCAGGAAGGATATTTAAGAAATCAGAAAACAGTAGTAGTCTGTAGGAAAGAGAATTCAGAGGACCTCTGAAGTTTAGAGGTGGAAAGCAGACATATACTTTTTTCCTTTTTCAATCTATAACGAAGCTGGTATTACCTATTTAAAAATAGATATGCTAGTGGGTGTAGTGGTACCTTCTTATAATTCTAGCACTCTAGGTGGCTGAGGCAGGAGGATCAATCACAAGTTCGAACCCAGGCTGGAAAACTTAGTAATTTAGCAATCCCTTAGCAACCTTGTCTCAAAATAAAAAATAAAAAAGGAGGGGCTGGGGATTTAGCTAAGTGGTTCCGGTGCCTGGCTCGCAAGAGCAAGGTACCAAGTTCAATCCCCGGTACCAAAAAAAAAAAAAAAAAAAAGGAGTGCTGGAGGATATAGCTCAGTGTAAAGACCCTGCTTGGGTTCAAGTCCCAGTAAAGAAAAAAAAGAAGCTAAATGCAATATGGTACTCTGGATTCAATCCTAGAACAGAAAAATTATAGTAGTGGAAAAAATTATGAAAATTTTATAGAAGCCAGATTTTAGTTAATGGTCACGTAATAATGTTAATTTGCTAATGGTCATGTAACAATGTTAATTTGTTACTTCTGACAAATGAGCCAGTGGCTACAGAAGATGTTATCATGCGGACAAACTGTGAAAGTTATATATATACTGTCTAGAAATTTTCTGTAAGTCTTAACTTTATTATGAAATTAAAATGTTATTAAAACAACAAACAGACATTAAAAAATTATTGGGTGGCTTTGAGTAAAATGGGTTAGAGAAAGGGGAGATTAGAACCGAACACACCAGATGAGAAACTGTGGAGGAATCATGGCATGAAGTGACAGGGAATTAGGTAAAAGGCATGAAAATAAGTAATCAGAAGATACATGTCAAAAAAATCAAATTATTTACAGTATCACCGAGAAATCAGAATAGTGAAACTAATGACAAAAGACAGGAAGGAGAATGAAATTAATTTAATTCATCCAACAAATACTTGTTGGTACCTAGTATGCCAGGCATGATGTGATGAGGTGAGAGAGTTTAAAAATGCCAAGTACAGAGTGACCTCAACATATCCAAAAGGCATCTGAACAATGAGATGAGGGCTCAGGTGAGAGGACAGACCAGGAATAGTTGAGAAATATTAAACAGAGTGAGGAAGGGGAGGCCAGCACTCAGCTGAAGGACATAAACACAGGGAAAGAGCGCAGTGGCAAAGAAGACAGGGAAAGAATGGGCAAAGGGTTTGGGAAAGAAGCACGATAGTGTGATTGTCTGGAAACCAAGGGAAAAGGAAAGAGCTAAGAAGCGGTCCACCAAATCCACTGTTGAAGAAATTAGGATACACAAAGACCACCGGACAGCTGCTTAGAAAGAGGGATCATTGGTGGAAAAAAGTCATTCAAAAGACCTCTTTCACTTCCAGCAGAGCCTAAATGGAATCCAGATTATGGAAGTCAAAATGTTCTTACAAGAAAGCACGTCTGATTTAAAGGCCTTTGGGAAAGGGGATTCCATTTACCATCATGCCTCTTAAACTGGGGAATCTGAAGCCACAGGGTAGATCTTTATGTTGTATCAGCTTTATTTGGGAGAAAAGAAATTGAAACAGAAGAATGCAAAATTTGCATGCATGTTTAAGACAAACCATTATTTATTATCTTAATGTAATCCTGATAATTACAGACTTCTATAGTTTAAGAGAAACCAATTTTAAGAATAATCAAAATAAACCAGCTTCTTTCCTAAATGTTTGGATTTCTAAACTAAAAGTTGCCTTATATAATAAATAGCTTTCAATACTTCATGTTACATCATCTGAAATTACCTCTCGAGGCTAAAAAACAAAAAGCTAATGCAATACCAAACCTGGAAGGCATAATTATAGCTCTTATAAGTATTTTATTCAGCCTAGGTTTTCACAATGAGTAACAACTACAGGGACATGTTGTCACTTCTTAACATTACTACCTCCAACTCTGCTGTCACATTTTCAAGATACTGACATAATCATGTTTGGAGAAAGCAAATCTGAATTCATATAGTAGAAAATAATAAAGTATTTTCTTTTTCATAATCAAGAGAATGGCAGAGTTCCTTTTTGTTGTAAATGTAGATTCAGGCCATTTGGTTTGTGTACTCAGTTCATAACAGAATAATTAATACTACTGAGTTATTTGGTATTACCTAGAGGGGAGAAGAAACACATACCTACAACCAGCAATTCAATTCTCAGGCACACACCCTAGCAAGGTTCCCACCTGGGGTGTTGAGACACCCTAATATGCAATGAGTGTGCCCAGGGTAGACCTCAGCTCTCCAGCCAGCCAGAAACTTTCAGGCCTGAAATACAGCTTCATTACCTTAACCAGTGTGCTATACCAATATTATCTACCATTTTCTGTGTGTGGTATGACGCGAATAAGGTTAAGAGACACTGGTACAGAAGTGCTTACACACGACAGATACATATACGAAACATACATATATGGGAGCAATGTTTGTAATAACTAAAACCAGGAACATCCCAAAAGTCTACCAGTCAATTCAGCTACTACTAAACTCTGGAATGTTCGGACAGCAGTGAAAAATAATAAGCAAAAGCTAACATGCATTGTCATGGAGAAATCTAAGGCTATAATGTTGGGGGGAGGGAATGTCCCAGAAAAAGACATACAATATGATTTCATTTTTATAAAATTCAAAACAATGAAAAACTAACCAGTATATGGTTCTGGGATACACAGATATGTGATAAAATTACTAAGAAAATCAAGAGAAATAGTAACTAAAAATTCAGACCCTTGGTTATTTGTGCAGTTTAAAGAAATGTAGGGACCTGGAAGGAGCCCACAGGAGGTACTAGGAACAAGGGTCACATTGCCTTCCTAAACTGGGCCATAGGTACACACATATTCTCTACATAATTATTCCATAAATATTTTATAAATTTTGAAAATATTACTGCACTTACACTTAGTAACTTAAAAATTTTTTGTAGTGGTGCTGGGCTCAAACCCTGGGCCTCATGTGTGCTAGGCAAGTGTTCCACCACTGAGCTATAACCCCAGCTCCTTTTTCAAAAGCTCTGCTTTGTCCATAGGTAGACAGCAACTGAATCCATCTCTCTAGCAGAATGAGGTCTATGGGATAAAAGGGACAAACACAGACACGTCAAGTTATCCAGAACCTTTCACAAAAGACTTGCATGCTACACAGTTCCAACAAAAAGTGTTTAAAGCTCCCCAAATAATTAAGTTAAGAACTAATTTAAACTTAGTATGCTATCATTTTGACGTACTATATGTGTAAATTTTAATATTAAATTTAATACAGATTTAAAGATTCAGGGCT